GAATTCTTCATTAAATTTGCGTTCTTTTGATCGCTGATTGTCGATTTCTTTTTTTATTAGTTATATTTATATTTATTTATTACTCTTACCGTCGACCGGCAACTTTCTTGATGATGTGGTTTATTAGAGATCATGATGGTTATTGGTAGAAGAGGATAAAAATTAAAATATCCAAGCATGCATAAATATAGCAGAAACGTTGGCCCAAGAGAAATATTTTGTGAGTTTCTGCCACTTCTATTGACAGACAGACGCAAGGAAATGGAAAACGCAGACCTTAGAATTGTATGATGTTCTATACCCATATGAGAGAGTTTAACAAATTAAGATAAATTTAGAAAGAAGAAATCTGGACTCACACACTGTTATAGGCGGTAGTAAAAAAATCTGGAGAATAGTCTGCCAGCCAGAATATTCGCATTTTTGGCGCTCTATACTAGATATTCCACAACATGACCCAGATAGAAAAAAATAGCCATTCATTACTGCAAATTGTCGGTTGCATAGCATGCGATTTCTTAGATGTACTGATATCAACGCTATCAAGCTGTTTCTCCGCATTCGGGCCAAAAGCAGAACATATTTAATGCTGTAAATGGTTATAAAACTGAAAACTTCTAAAAATTGTCATAAATTTCTGTTCGTCGACTGAAAAAGTTGAAAATCCTGTTCGGAATAAAAATGTTGCATTAAAAACTCTAACCCTTGTTCACATGATTCCAGAGCTCAGGTTACACGAGATAGACGAGTTTTTCCGTTTACATTTTTGTAATCCCTTGATTTAGCTTGGCCGAGGCCCCGGAATATAAAGAGTTGGTAATTAGCTCTCGGCCCCCCAGTTGTTTACCGAAAAAATTATAATTTGCAATAATACGAGTTAACCCTTTTCAGGTTCACATGTTCCATTTACAAGTAATTGTCTATTGTTGTGTAGAGTGTATTGATATAATAATTATAGTGAAATAAACGTACGTGATAATACAATTACAAAACTGAACGCATTTAAATGCGTAGATGAGGGAAGATGCCGCAGATAAATCAATAGATATTTTATGTTTTAACTAACATGAATTTCTCCATTAAATCGGCGATCGTTTTGTATAAAATAGCAAAGTTTCATAATTTTTTCCTGAATAATATGTGTTTTATGGCAAAATATACAAACAAACTGTTGTTGCGTATTAATTTGTTTCCTTGTTTGTGTTTAATCAGTGCATTGAATTATTTTTAAACGAATTGATCAAAGTATCGTTTTTCGTTTGTCCATAATAACTTTTTTCAGGGGTCATTCAAAACAAGTTTAGTTTAATTTTTTAATTAAAATGTAATGCTTTAATTTAGTTGTCTAAACGTTAATTGTATTTACAGTTTGCTGTTACGTCGCAGATGTTTTGTTCTAAAGCACCCAAAGGAACGGGTATTTGGTGGAACTGGAACATAAGTACCTACTCATGACTATTGGCACTGTTCCGTTAAATTCTATTTGAAGTTCTTGAGATTCTAGTTAGATCTGTTTGGAATCTGAACCAAATTTGAACATCTATTTCATTTCAAAAGGCAAAAGGCAATAGAGAACAGTTCTTCATTGCAAAAAATATCGTTAAACACTATACAACTTGTCTAAATTCTTCTCCTCTTTTTGTATGCTATTCACAAGTCATCCAATAAATTGAGAAATATGTTCATGCCATATTTAACAGTGATGTTGTCCAACATAATGCGATAAATGTGCAAGAATATACATATTATATTCTTTGTGCTGATTCAGAACACTTCATGTTGACGCATTCATTAAGTCCCAGGTGTAAAGTTACTCAATTATGAAAACGCAAACGAAAATATCTGGCTGTGTCTCGAGTGGCGGCCGTGAAGGGTCGAAAGAAAGGGATGCAGAGGAAGGGCTTGATGCATCCTGGCTCGTCAGGCCGATTTAAAATATCAGCCTCTGCATTGTGTTCGTCTGAATTTAAAAAAAGTACTCAACATTAAGCTTGCGTGTGGAATTTCACGGTATAATGCCCTTTATATTAGCGGCCGTATTTACCTATGCACTTGTCGCTAATGAACCTGCCTCAATGGGGATTCACATCCCCTTGGAGCTGGATCGAATTACGCACTTGTGTCTCACTTTTTAGATTATCTGCTGGGGTGACGATCAACGAAAGGGTTCGAGTCTGTTTGCTTCTGTCTTGTCGACAGTAGCGTGCTTTAATGTATTTATGTTTCACTTTTGTATTGTTGATCCATATTGCCTTTGAATAAACAACGTTCATTCCGAACATTCGCCCCTTATTTCTTCATAGTGATCAGATTCCATTGAAGAATTTCCATCTATATTTTCGGGTGACTCGAAGTGAATCACCTTGTATATGCGTTTTATGAAACTTTCATTGAAGAATTAACTATACATCATCAAGTTATGAATTGAATAAGACATGGGACAAGTGACGGCTTTCAGAGACAATTTTAGCACGGAGATGCTCGTTTCGTGGAATTTCCAACTATTGTTCCGAACAAATTTTGCTGTTTTTCAATGATACAGATATTTACATAAAGTTGCGACTTTAGACATTAAAGAGACAAAAGTCCATAGGCGTTAAATCGCATGATGTGGGCGTCTAAAGCCGATTTCCAAGTGGAGACATTCCGGCCCCGTAGATTAACTAAGATTACGGCCAGGAAGTGAGTTGTACAGTAATTCATGAGTTTCTCTGGCTGAAATTACACGCGGTCGAGATAAATGTTTTTTAGTTTTGGTAAACAAGCGTTAGTTAACTTTTCCCGAAAACAAACACCTTTACTTCGTTAATGCTTTACCAACTGCATTTTCGATGAAAAACGAACCAAGGATGCTTCACAACACACGCCAAACGGTGAAAAATCCTCTTGAGGTTTAGGTGGTTCCAAAACCGAATCCACAAAACCTCTTCGTTGCCCATTTGTACGCATAGGTTCACTCCTTTTGTCAAAATTCGATCGATGATAACACAATGAGAATTGTGCAAACTAACAAATACATTTTTTTATTTGTGTGGTTTCTAATACTATTTTTTTTGTGGTTTAAATCATGCTACTCAGCTTTATCCTGTCCTCGTTTTATTCTGTCTTCCTTATAGTAATTTGAAATTTTACCATTATTATACCCATATCGTTGTCATAAAGCAAATTATGTTAACGATCGAAAGTTTTAGCGAAAATTTGTTTCAACTATCGGTATTTTAATAATGAGCTGATCTCCCTGATCCGCCTGTTTGTTTAAATCCCATAACAATTAATTAGCGCGTTAATTAATTAAACAGTGCTTTTGAGTGTCATTCATTCAGTGCCTCTGTTTCAACCTCTTGTTATTTTCAACATGTAATTTAGTAGATTTTTTATAAAAAATAAATTGTTTACTTTATATTTGCAGATTTACAGTCCAAACAAGTAATTGGTTACATACCAATTGAATTAATCCCTGTCCAATGAAGAAAAGTGAGCTAAAATGTAATATCCCCCGTTTCTGGCAGTTTGTAATTGCAAAATTATATGCACAGAGTGTGCAGTTGAGATAATAAGATAAAATATAAAATATTAAAAGATACGAAAAAATATCAAGTAACAAGCTCACACTAAATTGAGCATTATAATCATACTTTAATTTATTTGCAATTGTACTTACGCCTTCTAATAGCTATCAAATAGTATAAAAACAGTTTCCACCGTTTTCCTTTGACCGATTTACTAGTGGAAACTTTTTTCTTAAAAGATTTAGCTCCATTTGAGGGAATCAAATTGAGCAAATTTCGTTTACACATTTTATGTTCTAAAACATTACAGCTTATCAGTGATTTGAGCCAGATGCCCATTAACTGAATAATAATTATCTTGGGCAAATTTTAAAAATCAATATACGTTCGTCAGTAATGTTGATTTGGGAAAATGATTTATGTTTTCACATAATTATTGTTTTACGTAATTTTTACGTACTCTCTCACCACTGATTTTTAAACAGTTTCAATTAATAT